TTTTGAAAAATGGATAGTTCAAGGAATTTCTAGAAGGCAAATGAAACAAAACACTATCCTATGACCAGAACATTCGAAATTTCGTCAGACTTAAACAGTCAATTGAACAGAATTAACTTCACTAACGAAGAACAGAACAACCTTTTATTGATACAATAGTAATTAAAAGTGGTAAGTAATAAGTTAGAATTTGAAGTTTATAGAAAGATACTAAAACATTTCGATATATCACTGGTGACTCCGATCACTATCCTCAACAAAAGAAGACGAGCTTGAATTTCTTGGTTAACCGATTCCCTATCTTTCGTTTCAATAAGGAAAAATTCGGAAAAAGTGATAAATCGTCAAAGATGCAGCCAGATGTAATGGTGTTGAAACTGGACTAGTTGACAGAGTAATTAATAAATTTCACTTTAGAAAATGGGTCACTGAAGCATCTACTTTTCAAACAGGAGAGCAAGACAAGACGTTTCTGGCCACAATCCTTTTGCTCCTTCAGTAACAAAAGGGGTGGAAAAATTTTTCAGAGGTCTCGGCAGTAAGGTTGTATAAACATTCGGGCAGACTCTTCAAACTCTTGTGGGAAACCCGAAGGATAAAGTAAGGTCTAATGAAATGTCAGGGATTTATGAAATAAGTTGTAAGAATTAGTGTAACGAAAAATATATTGAGCAAACAAAAAGGTCGATTATCATGAAACACAAAAAACGCATGGCTCACTTCAAATTCGGAAGATTTGAAAAATCAAGCGTTACTCAACACATTTTTGAGAATGAACAAATAGTTTGTGTTTTCGGTGTTCTGGAAATAAACGTTATATAAACGAGTATCACCTTCTTCATTTTTCTGTTATTTTTATAAAATTTTGACCCCATTTTTTAATGAGCTTCATAACGACAAACTTTAAAATGGCGACATTCAACAAGATGGAGCAAAAACTCAGTGTACACGACAAAATTTGAATATGGTTTTAGAATTTTTTAGTGAACGAATACAATTTAGTTGAAAAATCAATATTCCCACAAGAATTGAAAATTTGAAAGAACTTCGACAGAAACTAAATGAAGAAATTATTGAAATTACATAGCACCACCCCACAATTACTTCAAAATGTTTTAATGGCATTAAAACACGGGTCAGGTCATGGCAGCTCAGGTCCTGTCAAGCCATTTCATGTTTAGAAGCCGATAGTGAGGATTTTCATCATTTGTTTAGAATTTATCCATTAAATAAATAGGATTAACAAATCCAATTAATTTCAGTTAATTGAAGTCTGCTTCATTTCATTTCGTTATAACCCTAGTTTTTTAACATATCGTTTCGATCCAAATACAGACAAACGTTTTAGAGGCAGAAGAAAATCAGGATCAAGTAATTAGAGGGTTTCTTTTCTTTTGATCGCTCATTATTAGAATCGTCCAATACTTACAGCTTAGGTGGATATTTTATAAATGTAGTTGTTTACGCATAAGCTTTAGTTTATTATTGAACCAACAGATATAGCAGTATATTAAAAAACAAGCTTTATATCACGAGTTTTCTAAGGGATGAGTGCGCTAAAATGTTTTATGAAATGTAAAAAAATACTATTTGTTCTACTTCACACCTTTTGTCGATTTTTAAATAAAAATTCTAGCAACACGTGAAGTTTAAATTTTCACAATACTCAGTTATTGTATTATTTAAATTCTTTAGTAGATCGGTTACAAATCCGAGATAGTTGTTTTCTATAGTCGACAAAATATATTGGAAGTAAATTTATCGTTTACAGTGTAACTGAAGAAATTATTTTGTTATTCGACGTTAAATCAAGAAGACAAAATTTTACATGAATCAGAATACCACTGCGGTAAAAAAACATTCTTTTTCCAGACCTATATTAAAATTGTCTAGACAAACTTTCAAGCGAATACATTGGTGCACACTGTATGAATTAAGATACAAGACAAAAACCATTCAGAAAATTCCGTTAGCTTTACATTTCAATTTCTAGTGAAAAAATTTATATTAAATTCGCTAGTTTTAACCAAGCAATGAAAATAAATACCTACATAAAGAAGTACATTCACAAATGTACAAAAATACATTAAATCAGATTCAACTGCATATGGCGTATTTCCATAACCGTGCTCCCTAAAAACATGCAACTAATTTATAATTTTTACTTCCCGAGCGTAAGCAAAGGAAGTATTGTAATCGAGTCCGTCGGCCGACTCTCTACTTTTACGTTTTCTCGGTCTTTCATGACTCCTAGAAGACGAAGAAATAGGTCTCCCATTTGCGTCTGTCTGTCCGTCCGTCTGTCCGTCTGTCCGTCTGTCCGTCTGTCTGCCGTCCCGGATTTTTATTAGACAGATAATCTCCGAAAGTACTGGACCGATTGTTGTGAAATATTGTACTTATATTAGGAATATCATGTAGATGGTAAAACGCTAACCAAAATTTGTCTAATCATCCCCACCACTAATGCGATGACGTCACTTCAAAATTGTACATAGTAAATGGGTCTTAAATTGTATAAAATAACATAGTCCTACACATGTAGTTTACGACCCCGAATTGAGTTTTTACCCGAAACGTCCAGATTTTTGGAAAAAAAATCACAATTATAAAACAACATTTTGCAATTTAATTTTGAATCTGCTAACCCGAATGTTTTGAAATGTTGCAGATGTTTTAAGGCTCTAAAGAGCATCATAAATCTTTAGTCAAAATATATTTGGTTATCCCCTCCAAAAACTTGATGACGTCAGCTCAAAAGTTTGCCGAATAAATCCTATCTAAAATGTACAAAATATGATGCGTCTGTACTTGCGATATATCACTCCATTTATATTTTTTGGATTTGCATATACAGGGTGGCTCAAAAAAATTAATGAATGCGTGAATTTATTTTATTGATTTACTCAGGAATTACAAAACCGAATGCTTTAAAATCTTGAAGATGTTTTAAAATTATCATAAGCATGGTAAATTTTTGATCAAAATGTATTTGGTCGTCCCCCCTAAAAAGTTTATGACGTCACCACAAAATTTTGCTGAATAAATCCTATCTAAAATGCAAAAAATATGATGAGTTTGTACTTGTGATTTATCATTCCATTCATATTTTTTAGATTTTCTTAAGAGGTGGCTCAAAAAAATTAATGAAGTCAATTTATTTTATTGATTAAATTAAAGGCAACACTTATTATTAGTATTACATTGGACCAACACAATTTGGTAGACACAAAATTTGTTAAAGGAAAAACTCGGTTGAAACATAAGGGTAGCACGCTTATTTACATCGACTTTAACATTACAGACGTGCATTTGTTTTATGCGCTGACTAGGTTCCGCGAATGTGGAATAGACATGTTTATAATCAACCAATTGTGAATTCCACCGTCAAAAATTAAAATAAAACCCAATGTTTTATATAATAAGCGGAAGTCGAAGCAATAAAACTGATGGTCGTTTTGTTTACAGTTTCTCTGTTTGACTCTCACGTATGCTGTTACGCTTGTCATCTTAAATTAAGAATGCTTATACATAAACGATTTTCAGTTGCCTCTCACCAGCGCCGTATACGTGAGTAAATTGTTTCGTTATTTTATTGATTATAACAAATCAATATTCAAAACGACCCAATTCATTTCCCCAAAAATTTGGGAATACAATAATTTTATTCTTAGTATTACACTACATCTATCCCAACTGATATACGTGTCCTTGCAAAATTGTTGATGACGTCATCGCAATTTTTTTTTAAATTCCCACTACAAAAATGTAATGAGAAAAAAACACAATAGGCATGCAGTCGTCAAGTTTCCGACAGCGAGGGAAGTACTGTCTAAACTCTTTAGACCAATTTTTTAAATATTACAATTCCGTTGATAAGATTCAGGAGTCGGTGAAATATTTAGTTTATTTGTAGCATTTTGTTTTGTATACTTGGAACGTTCTAGTGAAATGTGTTGATTTTTAAGTAGTTTCTACTTTACTACAGTTTGAGTAAAGTTTTTTGATCGATTTTTACGAGACGTAGTATTTATTAGCGTGTGTATTAGCAAGCGAGAACTCGGGGTTAGTCAATGCTACCTCCAACCTAAATGGAGCCTTAATTATAAAGACACTTGAAGTGGATTTACTGTTTAAGTGGCCAGGTTTTTCTACTTCGAACTGAGTATTAGCGTCACGTTTTCTTAATAGCAATAACAATGTTTTCCACAGGATAATACTTAGTTTTATGTGAAAGAGAAGCAGAATTTTTTTATACATGTAAAAGACGAAAGGTTTTTCTTTTTTGCTGCTATTTTCCATATGATTTGCTTGGTGTTTAAGATTAATGGACAAAGCATAAAGCATTCACAGTTTTCGTCTTTAATTACAAGATTTTTGAGACAGTATTCACGATTAATCTAAAATGCTTATTGGTAGAATTGTTGGTTTCAGATGATTTAATACGTTTTACTGATAATTTTTTTCCGGTTTTAAGGTCCGGTCGACCTTTACGGAACTGGAAGTACCATTTCTTGATCGCAAGTTTTCATTTGAAGTGAAATTATTTTTGGCATTTTGAACGTACCTAATTCGTTGACGTTAATGTCTTTAAAATTACTTACTTTATAATTTTATTGTGAAAGAATTTAATTCAACTACATATTTGAAAGTTTACACGCGAAGTTTATAATTTTTTTTACGGAATTAACAGTCCGAAACGCGAACTTGATCTTTATAGTCTAGTTCTCAGTCTTCAACAAAAATTGCTTCATATTATGAGGTTCCCCCCTACCACATAAGGACTCATAAAACTCTGGACATCGTTAAATGTAATGTAATCCTGGTTATTATCGGCCCTACCCCACAAGATTGATGTGTTTTGCTGACGTCTTAACGTCGACAAATTTTCTTTGATATTGATTCCGACAATCTCTTGGTTTTTCTTTTTTGAATTAGCAGTAATAAATCAATAGAGGCATGGATAATATATGGCAGTGAAAGTACTGGCTTAAATTTACCTGACATTTTCGTGCCTGCTCATGTAAATTTTCTTGAATTGGCTGTCGGCTTGGTCTAAATCCTGTCTCATTTGTACGGCTACATGTTCTGGTAGAACGGAGAGAAGGAGACGCTCCTGGAAAATAAATGTGATTTTATTAACGTTAGTGTCGCTGTCGGAGAAATTAAATATTCTTCTAAAGTCCTCCGGATTACCAAAACCGACAAAATATTAACAACTGTTCAATGTATTTGTGCTGATTATACAAAAGTACCGAAAAATAATAAGTTTCGGGTTTGCAGTGTGCCATACGCCATACATCGTATGCCATGCTTTACTGTCCCTGTTAACTTAATTTGACATTCATCAGTTTAAAGTCAACTTAAATGCCAAATTAATTTGACATCGACCGTGAAACGCGACTACGGCTGTGGAGGGATAGATCTGCATTCTCTCGCTTGAAAATGATAATGCTGAAACACGGTTTTTACACCGTGGGAACGAATGTACTTTTACAAGTGTACTCTCTATCGAATGCAACAACAATCATTCTGTTTTAAATAAAAATAAATTTTCCAGTAAATAAAAAGTTAATTTCAGTAACGGTTTGATTTCCGTGTGGTTTGGTGCAGCTTCCATTTAAAAAAGGACATTCTGGAGATAAAAGAGATCGTATTTGAGATTATGACTTTCAAACGAGTGTGCAGACCTATCTCGATGACCGTGAGCGTGAGATACGTAAAACGATTCGTAACCAACTCCAAACGTGAGACCTCGTTGTTTGAATAACTGATTGTTATACATTTACCTACTACTCCTGTTAATTAAATTTTTACTTCCCGAAGTAAAATAAGGGAAGGATTGCAATAGGATCATTTTGATGAATGTCTGATTACATGTGAGATTTCATAGCTTGTAGAATACAAAAATGACGGTATGTCTAATTTCTGTTGGTCCCTCGTGTTCATGTGTCATTTGTCTGTTGGAGATTTTATTAAACAAATAGTTATCCACTAAATAATTATTATTAATTAATTTTAAAATCTTACAAAACCACTATTAAGTTTAAGGTAAGATTAGGTAAATTTAAAATCTAAGTTTTCTTCTCTTTCATTATTTTGTTGTCTAATAAGCATACAAAATATCAGTATATTTACGCAGTTCTAGAGCTTTCGAATTGTTTGCAAAAGGTTTACAATTTTCTGCACTTGTTTCATAAAACATAGGTGCATTTAATTCCTTCGAAATCCTTAGAATGGAATATCGTTAATTTTGTTATATTATAACAGGTGTACAATAAAAATAGATTTGGAGCAAGCTTTGAAATCATTATTTATCGTTTTTTTTTATAAAAAATGTATAACAGGGTAATTATTTTCGGAGACTAAGTAGGCAAGGCAATATACTTTAGAGCGTGGATAGTTTTATCAATGCTATATTAAATGTAGTCAGGTTGATAGATTATTGACATTTAACTTGACAGAATTTCCTAGACTTATTTACTTTGTTTGTATGATAAAAATCAATTCTTTTCAGAAATAATTTGTGAGTTCTGTTGTTTACAACGTTTTTACCAAGAATAATATCTTTTTCTGAACGACACAAAGTATTCATGGTAATATCGTACTATCGTAACAGTGTAAAAGTAGATGGCACTTGGCAATATTCAATCGAATTATGTATAAAGGAGTTTCGAGAATTTCCTGACTTTGCCGTAGAAAATACGCAGTTGAAAAGAAGTAATGGGAGAAAACCCGGTACTTCTATCTATCTCTCAATTATGGCAAAAACTTGGTTTGTCTGTTTAATATGATTCTAAGAAAAGATTTTCATTTTTTGTTTTTTTTTTGTCAATGGTTTGTAAATGCTCTAGATCCCGATGACCGTTTCAAAAAATGTTTTTTAGTGATGGGTTTTTTATGATAAAAAATTTCTCAGTGTTTTAACAAAAAGATAAATGATGTTTTCAGGAAACATAAATGCTGCAGGATACCGAGATAAAATTTTTACTGTATTTTTAAACCAACTAGATGATGACGAGTTAGTTTATAGTTACTTTCAGAAAGATGATGCTACTGCTCGTACATCTAAAGCCACGATTAGTTTTTTGGTTGAATACATGACAATCGAATTATCAGTTGCAATACGGCAAACAATTGGTCGCCTAGATCATGTAATTTTTCCTTTGCGACTTCGTTTAAGGCCACATATAAAAAATTCAATTTATGTACTTAACTTACCCTTAAATGATGTAAAAAAAATATGGAATAGGATAACACAACAAAATTTATGAAATTAATAATGCTGCAGGTGTTTGTATTTTCTCATTAATTTTTTCTTCTCTAGTCTAATAAAACGCTTTATCTGTCCACGTTTTTAACATCTTTTTTATTTTCTGTTACCGGTTTCGAGCTAAAGACTGCCCTTTTTCAGACGGTCTACATTTATAACGTAACATTCAGCTAAGTTATCTTAAAAATTTTTTATAAGTCATATCCCTGTCAAATTTGTTCCCTGCTGATAACAATTTAAATTTAAAATTACAAAATCTAACGTTCTGTTGGGTTTGAAACAAATTAAATACTTTTTTCTTTATTAATTTCACGTTTCAAAATGTCCAAACTTCCTGTTTGTTGTAGGCACCGGGAATTGGCTAAGGAGCTTGTTTTATTGTGTTAGAGGTGGTTATGGTGTCTATTCTTCTGCTGCTCCCGTTTGTTGTCGGTATCTTTTTCCAGTTCAGTTCAAGAATTACGTCAAATATGAGCTTATACGGGGCTTTTATAAATGATTCTAAGGGCGTAGTTGGCCATGGATTTTGAGAATCCCGCTTCGCTGAAATTATGCCTCACTATGAGAGTTCTCATTTGTCATTAATGACATTTGTAACCCGTCATTTAAAGTGGTCGTTTTTATTCTTTTAACATCTTTCAAGTGTGAATTACAATAATTCTCGTTCATCGAAGCTCAAAATAACAAAAGAGTCGTTTTCAAAATTCTTGGTGGTTGTGTACGAAAATTTTGCTTTGGTGCAAGGAAGCGAACGCATTGGGTGTATTCTGTAAACGCTTATAAGCAAGAATATCTGGCCAAATACCGTGATTTAATAATACAAGAAATATCTTTAAAGGCTCACATTAAAGATGTAATCAACAGATTTGTTCCAACTGGCAGTGTCAACAAAGTGAGCAGAATCCGCAAACATTTTTGACAAAATTTCCTTTGCAGTCAGGAGTTTCTGTTGCAACATGAAATTGAACAATGGGCCTTTAACAAAATGATGAACATTTGCAACATTTACTGTGATGTTTAACTGCAATAAATGTGTTTGTTTTAATTGTAATGAATTAGTTTTATTTTTTAACAAGATATGAAGCACTTAGGCAACCAATTATACCGATGCGTCTGGTCTTTGTCATGCGTTCTTGGGCATTTAGTAGGGTTCAAATCGAGGAGGCGGCACGTTTACATGACCCACTGCGACCCTATAATCATTTATAGAAACCCTGTATGTCAGTTCTACGTAGTCGTTTATGCAGTTCGTTCCTGTTTTCGTTGCTCTCTTGATTTTCAGCTCTTATAAGATTGATAATTGTTTGCCTTTTTCTTACTGGTGCACGAGTTTCGTCTTTTCTTTATCTATACTGTGGTCAAATGTGGTTAGGTGTTGTTGGGCCTTTGAAAATTTTCTCGGATTCGTGTGTTCTTTGATTCTTGTCCTAATATTTCTTCCTATTTCCCCAATATACACACATTCTGTACAGTATAATTTGTAAACTCATACTTTTTGATTTGTGGGTGTTCTATCTTTGCCGTTGAAGAGGCCTTGCATTTTATTTTCCGTGCTCATTGCTACCTCAAGCTTATTTTTGGATAGAATCCATTTTATCTTCTCTGGTATATTACCTATTAGTGATCGCTAGAGTTAGGCAAACCAGAAGTGCTGGGGAATTAATCAAACAAATATTAAAAATCACGACATGACGTCAGGCGATAAAGTTGACTGGCAGTGTCAACCTCAGTGGCGTTTGATGGAATTCAGGGTTGGGATGAAGTTGGTTGTAGTCGACGTACAAGGTTTTCATTTGCCAGAATTTATTGTAAAATAACTTACGATATACGATGGAATTAACACAATACATGAAACTTAACCTAAACCTACTAAACAATTAAAAGAAACAAGCTAGATATCTACAACCTTATGATCATATGTTGAGATTTAATGATGACGCCAAGGATCAGACATCTGTAAAACAAATTTCGATCGAATACATCAAGGAGACTGAGGCGGAGGTAATATATGTGAAAGAAAGAAATAAAGAAAATTATCTCATGGAAACGCTAGGAAAGGACTGTCCCAAAATAAAAAAATAAAATAAAAATAAAATAAACAAAAATATAGGAGTTTAAGCACTCTCACATCTTTAAATGGCTTGGCATTTCTTATTACGAACCCCAATAATTTATAGGCTGAAGATGTTATTTCTGTAATGTGACTCGAAAACGAGAGTTTGTCATCATACAGAATGCCTAAGTCTCTTACCATCGAAGATCTTTTGGCAGGAAAATTACAGACCTGATAGTTGAATTGAATCTTAGACTGCTTTCTGGAGTCTAGTCTATTTACAAATCTGTATTTTATTATTAGTCTGGACAAAACAGGACCGTTTCCGGGGTCAGGTCGACTGAGCACAATAGAATGACAACCGTTTCATAAAAAGTAGTGTCAATAGCTCAGGTCAAATGAGGTCGAACTGAGCTAGAAGCCTCACTAAATAACTACTCAAAACTTATTTTGTTGTAAAAAATGTTGTGTTGTTTTTCTCTTTGCTCTTTATCCTTGGTTCTGCTTCTCTTGTTAACATTTTTCTTTCATCTTTTCACACTCCTTCTTTGTGTAATCATTGTTGTAAGCTATTTCTTCTATTATCTTTATCTCTTCGTTTTACTCTTTCGTGTCCATGTGGATGGTTCGAGCTCCTGTTGATCATGGTGTCCGTGCTTCCGTTCAAGTGTTGTTTTCTTCCAGTTCTAAGGTAAAATCAATGTTCCTGTTTATGCCGTTGATGTTCGTTAGGAACTTATCTAAGTCATTTTTATCGTCTTTTTTTTCCAGACAGAATATGTCCAAATAC